CATCTTTCATGTATTACCGCGAAGAAATAAGATTGTCAAGCGCGGGAGCATTAAGGTGGGTGGATAGCATTCCAGTCGAGAAATGGACAAGGTCTTTTGATAGAGGATGCAGATGGGGTCATATGACCACAAATCTTGTAGAATCCCTAAACAGCATATTTAAAGGAACTAGGAACCTCCTCATCACTGCGTTGGTAAGGGAAACGTATTACAGATTGGGGTCACTTTTTGCGGCAAGAGGCAAAAAATGGAGCGCTGTTTTGGAATCAGGGCAAATATTCAGCGAATCAAGCATGAAATATATGAGGGATGAAACTTCTAAGGCGGCCTCACATCGAATTAGACCATTTGATCGTCACGATTACAACTTCATTGTTGATGAGACAATGGATCACAACAAGGGTCGGCCAATGGGACACTACGGGGTGGAACTTCATAAAAATTGGTGCGACTGCGGAAAGTTTCAAACCTTCTGCATGCCTTGTTCACATGTCATTGCCGCATGTTCAAGTGCTCGTCAAGATCCATTCTTGCAGCTATCAGAAGTTTACAAGGCCGTGAACTTATTCGGTATCTACAATAACAGTTTTCCAGTGGTAGCTAGTGAGGACTATTGGTCAACCTATCATGGAGACACAATCTACCACAACGAAAATATGAGAAGAAACAAAAAGGGCCGCCCTAAAAGCACGCGAATTATAACTGAAATGGATACAACTGAGAAAATGGAAAGATTGTGCGGAATATGTCGTCTTCTCGGGCATACGAGGAATAACTGTCCAAATGTTGGAACAAGTTCTAGATAAATTTAATTTGGTCATTAAAAATTGTGTAACCATGGAATTTAATATTTATATCAACTTTTCATTACCACAAAAACGAATTGGAATACTTCTACAACAACAACACAAATCATTAAAAATACAACGATTATTACAACATAACCTAAGATATAACAACAATCAAAGTAATATCATCAGTTCCGAACATCATTGACCTAACTTCGTTGTCATCTCTAATTCGCACCCACTCCCGCTGTATATTTCTGTCTTCAACAGAGAAGTACGAGACAAGTCTTTCAATACTCCTAATGCTTTCACCATTTGGAATGTCTCCTTCTAACCACCGATTCAAATTTCTTCGTAGTTGTTCTAAACTCTGGACGTTCCAAAACAACATCCTTATCAAAGGCTTCGTTCTTGAAAAAATGACATGCCCATATCTTCTAAGGTACATGACTCACTCTTCTAAATTTGGATGAAACAATGTTAACAACAAGTCTAACTATTTATAAAAAAAAATTGGAATAAAATAATATTAAATTTTAATTATATTAATTATAGTGAATTTGAAAAATTAAACTCGTTAAAGGGAGCTCCATTGGGGATGGCGCCCCCCTATAACTCATTTAAGGGAGGAGGCAAAGGGGATGGCGCCCCCTTTATAAATTATAGGGTGCCTCCAACCTGGATGGCGCCCCCTATAATTTATAAGGGAGGAGCCAAGCCCAATGGCGCCCCCTTGTAATTAAAAAAAAACTGAAATTGGTTAGATTGGTAAAAATGATGGAAAGTTGGGTAGTTTGGATATTAGGGGGGGGGGGGGGGGGGGGGAACTTGGTTATTTGGGTGAAAAAAATCTCAAAATCAACTTGGTCTTTCTGCTCAATGTTGTCATCACTCCATGGCCAGAACTTGCTTTCGTCAAAATTCACATCTCGACTGATGATAATTTTCTTGGTGGATGGATTGTACAGCTTCTAGGCTTTTGATTGGTTACTTACACCAAGAAATGTGCATTTTTCTCCTTTGTCATCAAGCTTTCTTCGTTTCTGGTCCGGAACATGAGCCTATGCGATACAACCAAAATTTTTGAAATACTCAATACTTGGCTTGTGTCCATTCCATGCTTCTTCGGGTGTCATATTCTTGACAGCAAAAGTGGGACTTCTGTTCAGCAAGTGAATGCTCCAAGTTACAGCCTCTGGCCAAAAACTTTTTGGCATCCCGCTCATCTTCAACATTGTTCGAACCATATTCATTATGGTTCTATTCTTCCTTTCTGAGACGCCATTTTGATGTGGTGAATAAGTTGGTGTAAGCTGCTTCCGGATTCCATGTGTCTCATAAAAATCTACAAATTCTCGTGAGTTGTATTCACCACCACGATCGCTGCGTAGGATTTTAATTGACATCCCCGCTTCATTTTCAGCAAGCACCTTGAATTGTTTGAAGACGGATAGAGCTTCAGACTTTTCCTGCAAAAAATAAACCCATGTTTTCCGACTAAAATCATCAATAAACGTTATGAAGTAACGTTTACCGCCATTTGAGGTTGGCGTGATTGGGCCGCAGATGTTAGAATGAATTAGCTCCAAGACTTGTTTTGCTCTCCGTGATTTTCCTGCTGGAAAAGTTTCTCGATGTTGCTTTCCAACAACACATTCTTCACAAACTTGGGATGATATTTGAAACTGTGGCAGACCTTTCACCATATTCTTCTGTTGGAGAGTTTGCAATCCTCCAAAGCTCAAATGACCATAGCGAAAATGCCATAGCCATGACTCATCTTTCAATTCCGCTGAGAGACTAATTTGGGAAGTGTTTCTGAAATGTAGCGGGAACATGCGATTTGATGTCATGTTTATTTCAGCAACCAATCCCTTTTCTTTATTCTGGATACAACACACCCCATATTTGATATTAATCTCAAATCCCTTCTCCTGGAGTTTTCCAACACTAAGAAGATTAGTTTTCAAATCATGGGCAAAATAAACATTACCTATACAATGTTCTGTGTTGTCTTTTGTGTAGATTTTGACATTTCCTTTGCCAATGATTGAAACTGTAGAGTTATCTCCAAACTTTATAGTGCTTCGGAATGATTATCCAAGTCTGAAAACAACGATTTATCCCCGCACATGTGGTTGCTGCAGCCTGTGTCTAAGTACCACACACTTCCATGAATTTTCTCCTCCTTGTGACATGCCATCAAGAGAGAAATATCCTCTTCCTTTTCGTCTGCATAGTTAGACTTCTGACCACGATCATGATGCAATTTAGTTCGACACTCAGACTTGTAGTGGCCATATCTGTGACAATGAAAACATTCAACTTTGGACTTGTCATTATTCGTCTTGTTGCCTCTGGATTGACTGTAGTTGTTACCCTTTCGCGTATCTGATGCATAATCCCCATCTGATTTGTGATATGGATTATTGTCCTTCCACTTCCCTTTTCCTCTATCGGAACTTTTAAAGGTTGAAGACTTCAAAGCTTGTTTCTCGGTGTCCTGATGGATGATTTTTTGCTCATGAACCGACAAGGAACTTTGCAACTCATCAAGTGTTAGTTCATCAATGTTCTTTGATTCTTCAATGGAGCAGACAACAAAATTGAATTTGGGCGTCATTGACCGAAGAATCTTTTCTACAATCTTCACGTCCTCCATTTTTTCTCCATGAACTCTCATTTTGTTAGCCACTGTCATGGTTCTACATAAATAATCAGCGACAGGTTCGCCTGTTTTCATTCGCAAAGTTTTGAATTCTGATCGAAGTGCCTGCAGTTGCACACGCTTTGCCCTTGCATTTCCCATATACCGTCTTTTCATAGAGTCCCAAATCTGCTTGGAGGAGTCTTTGCAAAGAATCGTCTCCAAGGTTGCTCGATCGATGGCTTGAAAGAGGTGATTTTTTGCCTTCAAATCCTTTAACTTCAAAGCTTCTCTTTCTGTTTTTTGTGCATTGGTCAATGCAGCTTCATCTCCTATCTCTGGTACTCCAGATTCCACAACCTGCCAATACTCCTTGGATCTCAAGAAGTTCTCCATGAGCATGCTCCAATTGTCATAGTGACCATCAAAGCGTGGAATAGTCGCGGGCACAAAGCCATTTTTCAAATCCCTCTCACGTCGAACCAGACTTTGATACCACTGTTGATAACTGAATTAGAGAGGTTGTTATTATTGAAAATAGATAGCCTTATAAATAGGCAGTACAACATAACAGTTTAACAAAGCCACGAACTTAAAATTCCTAAAAACAAGCTACCCACTAAACAAACTAACAGCACTAACAACACCTGTAAGTACTAAGTCTTTTAAACATACTAAAAAAATTATTAAATTAAATTAACAATAACGACTACAAAGTTGTAAAAAAAAAATACACTAAATGACATTTATCACTAGTCTATTTATGCACAGAAAACTAGTATCACATAGACAATTTACTAAAGTAGCTTCAAACAAAACTTACTCAGTAAATTTTATAAAATATAAATTATTTCTAAGAGTTTTAAAATCTCACTTTCCACAAATTTCAAAGCTGAACGAAAAGATTGTGGTGATAATACTATTTAGAAAATGCAACGTGATATGCATACAAAAGAAGATCTAAAAACAGTGGCACTTGGCACGTCCAAGTATGAAATTCTTCAATTGTTATGATTTGATTATATTCTTCTCTTAATCAAATTTGATTAAGAGTAATCACGAAGCATATTTATTTTCGTTCAATTAATACTTGAGATGAAAATAATATATTAGAACTTTGAAATCCATCTAAATATGTTTGTAAAATAGTGAATTGATAGTCTTGTTGGTTGGAACTTTGAAATTCTCAGATTTTCAGTCAAAGTCTGCTGGAAAAATTTGGTTGGGCAATAGATGTAGATCCTTACTTCAGATTCTGAGATCTATGGGATCTCAGACCCAACTCTCTCCTAACTACAACATATATATCAGACTAGCAAAAGATATAAAATATGCAAAAGAAGTGTATTCGGCATGAGTAATTAATTTTGAAGAAGCACAACTTGTTCATTGCTTATTCAACACACAAGTTTCTTTATCAAATCTTATAAACAAAACAAAAGAAACCAACTCACTCGCTCAATAGCTAGTTGATTACTTAAACTGCAAGCATCAAATCCTTTGCGATGAACAGTTGAGCATTCTGCATGACTATGATGTTTTATTGATCATTTATTTTCATTTAACTAGACGGCCAATACAAAAGGACTTCGAACCTTATGTTTGCCATCGTCCCAGGTAATGGATCCAAACAGATCATCTTTCAATGAAGTTAAAGTGGTCGAGAAAATAACTTGGTAGCTTTGTTTTTTGCTTTGTTTTGTAAATTGGAGTTTTTCTGGAATCAATTGGACTTTCACTCCACTAGGAGCATCAATGGCGGCGGAGTAAAGTGTTTCATATTCTTCACCAACATTCGTCACAGTTCTAGTCACATTCACGAATTCTTTTCCAATGAAGTTGGAGATTGCTATGGAAGGATAGTTGAGGTTGGAAATATGATCAGGAGTGGAATCCTTAGGACAACTGAAACCATCAGGTATGGTTTTTGCGATAAGTTTAATTGTGGCTGTATCGTATCCTAGGTAACACAAATAGTTTAAGTAGTCAATGGTGTCGGTTTCATAAACTAGCCCTGGATGGAATGATCCATTCATTGTAATTTCTCCAGCGCCATAGCCATACGGAGTGGAAACCGGCCCTAACTCTGTTGTAATGGGAGTCTTCATATTGTTAAATTGAGTTGCTGCATTTAAAAGTATACGACGGGTCTATAAGTAACTAGATAGGTATTATTATATCAAGAATTACATTTTATATCAAAAAGAAAAGCCGTCTACCAGAGGTCATGATGGCGGATCTGATAGCAGAGGCACTCCAAGTGGGATTTCGAGATTTAATGCTTCCTGCAAGGCCTGAAACATGTGGACATGACATGGAAGTCCCAGATATAAGGTTAAATATCGGAGGTTTTTTCCCTTTTGGAGCCTGTGTTGTGTCATTTCCCATCCATGCGGCAAGAATGTTAACACCTGGTGCTGCAATATCAGGCTGCAAAGAAAAAAAGGTTAGTTATGTTTAATAATAAGTATAAAATGAAAGATATTATTACCTTGAGAATATTCTTAGACAGCGTTGAAGGCCCTCTACTTGAAAACGTTGCCACCATTGGCGCAGGCTTGTAATCTATGACTGAAATTGATGGTAGAATTGTTGCCACTAGATTGCTTCCAATTAATTATATACAAAAACATCTTTGCTTTCAGTCTTAAGCAAATCAACAAGTGAATTCTAATATAAATGTGAAATATCATAAAATAAAAAGCTTTAAAATATTTACCTTGTTGAATTAACATATTCGAGAATTGGGATAGCATCTTTTGGCGTTACCGCTGTTGCTGGAAAATCATAATAGTAACTTGACTCTGCTCCTTCACCGTCAGTAATATGAACAAGACCTAATCCCCCCACCTCTTCTACCACATCAATTTTGACATCGGTTGAAAGATGATCAGTTATACCATCGCAGAGGACAATCTTTCCCTTCGCTTTTTTTTTATCTAATGAATTAAAGTGACACTGCCTGCATTTCACAATTAAAGTTCTAGTCTGTTGGTTATGATCAACAAATACAAAATGTTGCTTATGTACCTTGCTTCTGCTATGTCTGCGGAACTTGTCTTTGCAGCCTCCCCGGTTATCAATGGATAAATGGCGGATTTTGAAAGAGGAGAGAAATTTAAATCTCGACCCTGAAGAATAACAATTTATGGCTCATGTTTTGTAATGAGCCAAAAAGATACATTTTAGAGATAAGAACTTAAATTGTACCTTAATAACCTTGTTATTACCCAAGACTACATTGGACAGAAAATCCCGATCGATGGTGGTGGCTCCAACAGTAAATATCCAAGGTACATCGTTATCAACGGTAGTCTTTCGCGGTCCATCATTTCCAGCGGAGCAAACCACCATAATGCCGTGCTCCACAGCATGGAACGCTCCGATTGCAATCGAGTTGTTTGTCAAGGCAGGCCGGGGATACAAACCCGAACCGAGCGAAAGGGAAAGTACATGAACTCCATCATGAATAGCATCGTCAAACGCCGCAAGTATGGCAGAGTCATAACATTCATTTCCAATATAACATACTCTGTAAATGGCCAACCTCGATTCAGGAGATCCACCTATTGCTGTCCCTTTGGCAAGACCGTAGTATGATGCACCACTGACGTTCTTCCCAGCCGCTGTCGAAGCAGTGTGGGTCCCATGTCCATTAGCATCTCTGACAGTGTTGGTCGCACCAGCATCGTCATGAATGTTAGGATAATACCTCGCTCCTATTATCTTCCTGTTACAGTTGGACGAGTTGAAATCAGTTGATGTCATGCAAACTCCTTTCCAACCAGATGGAATAGGACCCATTCCCTCGTCTGAGAAACTTGCTGCTTCTGGCCATATCCCTGAATTATTCATTGTTCAATTCATTAACTTATTATTCAAGTTACGAAACAATTAAGAGTTAAATAATAACCGACCCGTGTCTAACATGCCAATTATGATATCTGAGGAGGAGGAAGACTCAGAAAGATTGTTGTCAATTTCAATGTGAGAAAGTGATCTTAGAAAATCCCAAGAACGTGTTGTGTGAAGCTTCATAATGTGATCCGGAAACACGGACACGACTCCAGGTTCTTGAGCAATCAAGTTTGCTTCATTTTTTGACATTCGAGCTGCGAAGCCTGAGAATCCATGTTTGTAGTTGTGTATTAAAGCTTTCTTATTCCTGAATAGTTCACATCGTTAATTATTAGTTAATCACATTTGACAATACTAGTAGCTAGTTGATCATTACACTTACTTTCTTAATAGAGTGTTTAAAAGATGAGCATGATCCTTGCGAAGGGTGCCATTAGCTGAACCTGCGGCTCCCATATAAACAATATAAACTTGATCGTCATTGTTTGATTGAGTTGATGATGATGATCTTGACTCTCCAAGAAAAATGAAAAGAGAGTAAAATATTACTATCAACAATATTGGATTTCCTCTCATCTTTTTAGTATTCTCGTCAATTAATGTTCAATTGGTTGATGCATGCTTGGTACCTCTCACGCATATATATATATATATATATAGAGAGAGAGAGAGAGTAGTCATCGGTGAATACAAATTTACACATGAGTTCAATATTATTTATTAAATAACATTTTGGCATTTCCATTTTCCATTGATGCATGATCACGGTAATTTTACATTTACATTAATTTTACATTTGATAAACACTTGCATAATTTAGAATGGCGATTCTATAATTTAAGAAAACAATAATAAATAATAAAATATAAACACTACTAGATGATTCTAGACGTTTCAACATCTTGATTATGTCGTCGACAGATTTAAAAGTTGTCGTGTTAAACTCGATCAATCCTTTAGTTAGTATATGATAATATGTTCTCCACATAACTTTCAAAATTTCATCGGTCTTCAACTCAATAAGGTTGTATTTCACACTTCTATCAATATCAATCAAATCTCTAGGAAACTCAATCCTACTCACCTTTGTGTTGGACTACATATTATTCAACTTGGATCTCAGAAGACGAAAAATGTGGTGCTCTTTGAAAGTCAAAACTCTATAGAAGGATTCACCCCATTGAAATACACTTAGTTTTTAAACAAAAACTAGACATTATAAGATGTTTCTATTATATAAAGTATCAATAGTGACATATAATGAAATTCTAATGGTAATTTGTAATAGTACTCAGAAAAGATTTTAACAGGACACAAAAAGATTCAAATGCAATTATAGCTTCATTAATTCTAAGGAAATATTTGTGGAAAAAATGGAAATGGAAACCGTACATAATTAATGGAAAGAGAAAGAAATCATTCACAAGGAATGCCACTAAAGGAAGAGAGAATGTATCACTTGATGTCTGCCTTCTTAGTCCATCGTGTCCTCCTATATATGTTGACCCACATAATATTTTTCTGTTAGGGATTTTCACCCTCTTGTCTCTCCTTGGTTCCACAATACTAGGAACGTTTTCCATCTGTCCTTCATTGCTTCTAATTTGTCCTTTTCCTCCGACAGTATTATTTTGCCAGCTCATAACATTACTCCCCTCATTAACAAGGACCTTGTCCTCAAGGTTAGGATACATAATCTTCAATTCATCCCAGTTTTTCCAAGTGACTTCAGTTGGCAATGTACTTTCCCACTGGACTTGAACATGTTGAATTGGTTAGCCATTTTGGAGGACGGTGTGACAGTTAATAATAGCTTGAGGCAAAATCAAAGTTCCTTGCTCAATAGTAGTCAAAGGAAGGGGTAGCAGCTGCGTAAAGTGGTCACATTTGCATAAATTTAATGCAGAAACATAAAACACATGGTGAATTTTTGCGGTAGTGGGAAGCATTAGCCTGTAAGCAACTGGACCATTGCGTTCCATGATAGGATATGGGCCAAAATAACGCATACTGAGTTTCTAATTGCGCCTAAGAGCTACCGAGTGTTGACGGTACGGTTGCAACTTGACTAACACCATGTCACCCACATTAAATTCAACAAATCGTCGTTTATTGTCAGCAAATTTCTTCATAATTTGTTGAGCTCGCATCATATTAGCCTTCAGAGCAGCCAAGGTATCGTCTCGCTCTAGCAACAGTTGTTGTAACAATGGTGGATCTCCGTTGTTAACTTCATAGCAAATCAGACCCGGGGGATTTCGTCCATAAACCACTTTGAATGGTGTCATACCAATACTTATGTGAAAGGAAGTATTATATGAGAACTCCATCCAGGGTAGTAATTTGGACCAAGCACAAGGAGAATGACTAGTGAAACAGCAAAGATAAAGTTCTAAACATTTATTAACAACTTCCGATTGGCCATCGGTTTGTGGGTGGTATGTCGTGCTCATAGCCAAAGTTGTGCAACTGAGTTTAAATAGATGTTTCCAAAATTGGATTGTGAATACCCGGTCATGATCAAACACAATTGTCTTGGGAAACCCATGAAGTTTAACTATTGTATTAATGAAAACCTTTGCAACTTTGTAACTGTTATAGGCAGCCTTGAGGGAAATGAAGTGGATATATTTAGATAAACGATCGACAACCACGAGAATAACAGTATAAGAATTAGATGGTGGCAGCCCCGTAATGAAATCCATCGACAAATCTTCCCAAATTTGTTATGGAATAGGCAGAGGTTGAAGTAATCCAGCTGGTAAGGTTGTTGCGTGTTTGGTTTGCTGACAAACTAAACATTGTGACACAAACTCCTTGATATCCCTAGTCATAGTGGTCTAGAAAAATTGAGTCGTGATGCGCGCTTTAGTGCATGCAACTCCAACATGTCCTCCCACAGTTGAAGAATGGAATTCAGTGAGAATGAGTTTGATCAATTCAGGTCGTTGAGGAATGACCAATCGATTATTCCAGAATAACATATCATGCTTGACTTGATAGTGAGGCGTAGAACATGTACCCAATAAGCATTGATTCCTAATCTCTGCCAACACAGGATCTTCATTCATAGTTGAATGAAACATGGAAACAAGCTGAGGTGTTTGTACTGATAGAGCTAAACAAAATGAGCGTGAGAGACTATCAGATGCAATATTCTCCGCTCTTGGTTTGTACTCTATGGTAAAGTCGTATCCAAGAAATTTGTGAAGCCAATGTTGTTGTTCGGGTGTTTGAATAGACTGATCAGTGAGGGATTTGAGGCTGCGTTGATCAGCCTTGATACTAAACTTATGACCAATCAAATAATGACGAAATTTCACCAAAGCTTCTGTAATATCGCAGAGTTCCCGGACATACGTAGATTGTTTTTGCATTCGAGGGCACATTTTTTTTGAAAAATAAGCAATGGGATGGCGTTCTTGACTGACCACTGTACCAATACCGAACCCGAAAGCATCAGTTTTAAGAGTAAAAGGCAATCTGAAATCTGGTAATGATAAAACTGGGGCTTTTGTGATTGTCTATTTAAGTTTAACGAAAGCTTCAGTAGCTGTTGGAGTCCAATGAAAATAATCTTTTTTAGAAGTTCAGTGAGGGGTGAGACAATGACAACATAATTGTGAATAAAACACCGGTAATAACCTGATGATCCTAAGAACCCTCAAAGCTGTTTCAGAGAAGAAAAAACTTTCCATTCCATGACAGCTTGAACCTTAGATTTATCCATTTCAACACCTTGGTTGGAGATGGTATTGCCCAGATAATCCACTGTAGTAAGGCCAAAGAAACATTTGGAAATCTTGGTAAATAACTCATGTTGTTCTAGCAGCTTTAAGACAATCTCCAAGTGTTCAAGGTGTGCAGACCAAGAGGGGCTGTACACAAGGATGTCATCAAAAAAGACTAATACAAACTTGCATAATTGGTCTCAAAAAACAGAATTCATAAGACTTTGGAATGAACCCAGTGCATTGGATAATCCAAATGGCATGACAAGCCACTCATACAATCCTTGATGCGTGCGAAAAGCGGTCTTATGACGATCCTCCGGATTAACTAAGATTTGATGGTAGTCGAATCTCAAATCTAATTTAGAAAAATAAGCAGCTCTAAACATTTCAACTAACAACTCATCAATCATTGGTATTGGAAAGCTATCTTTTTCTGTAATTGCGTTTAATGCACGATAGTTAGTGCAAAATTGCCAGGATCCATCTTTCTTTTTAACTAGCAAAATCGAGGATGAGAAAGGGCTAATACTAGGCTGAATAATACCTGCTGTAACATATCAGAAACCATTCGTTCAATTTATGCCTTCTGACTATGTGGATATCGATATGGTTTGACCTTAACCGGGTTACTACCATCAATAAGAGGGATCAAATGATCTTGTGCCCTTGGCGATGGTAAATGATTAGGTTCCTCAAACACCCTCCAATAAATGTGCAACAAGGCAGCTAAATCATCCGGTAAATTATCAAAAGCAGCGGATGATGATGATGCTGATATGGATTGGAATTGCATAGAATATGACAAGTAAATAGAGTGTGTGTTATGGAGACGACGAATATGATGAAATTGAGACTGACCCGATTCCATGAATTGGTCTCCTCTATGAGTGATGAACTTGTTGTTGCAGCAGAATTTAATCAATAAGGCATCATAATCTGCAATGTGAGGACCTAGAGTCTTGAGCCATGGTGCTCCTAGTACCAAATCAGCACCAACAATAGGTAGCAAATACACTAGGAGGTGGAGAGTGTGGCCCTGTATCGTGACTGGTAAGTCCTGAATCAATCCCGAAGCCGTCAATGTGCTACCATTTCCTACTAGGACTTGAAATTGAGGAGCTTCTTGAATTTCCAATTTCAAACACTGAGCTATGCGTGGTTTTAGAAAATTATTGGAACTACCACTGTCAAGGAGAACCTGTACTTGTACTCCTTGAATTTTCCCTTGAAAACAAAGTGTGTCTGCACTATGCGCTCCGTTGAGGGCATTAAATGAAAGATTATGCTCTGATTCAAGCATCTAAAGTAAAGGATCATCATCTGGTGGGTATGTCTCTTGCTCTGGTGGGTCAGAATAATTAACTTGGAGAAGCAGGTAGTGCTTGTTTGGACAATGATGGTTGGGTGTGAATTTGTCATCACAGTAGAAGCATTGACCCTTATCACGCAGGAGTTGAATCCTAACGGAAGTGATGCTATGAATGGGACGAGGTTTGGGAATTGGTGTTTGGGTTTGGGGTCGGGTCGGTGGAGTGGGTAAAATGGCATTGGTGGTTCGGGTCAGAGAGTGTGGGCTTGAGTTGTAAACAGGCTTTGAAGTTTGTGGGTAGGGTTTTGTGAAAGGGTTATATTTTTCTGCAAATAGTTTGGCCAAGGAAAGGGCGTGAGAGAGAGGGGTAGTGTAACACCCCACTTCCCAAATTAAATAAAATATAAACATTATAAATAAACATCAGAGTTTTCCCCAAAATAGTGGGATATCACATCACCAAATTTTTATAAAAATACTTTATTAATTATTCTCAAAAATAATACAGCGGAAAACATTATTCCAACATTCTC